CTGGATACTGGTGGGGGTTGTCATTGATGGAGGAGAACCCTGAAACAACCCTGATAAATTGGAGAAGTGGCCTGAAAAGTGTATGAAACCAAACAGGATGGAGTTCAACACTCAGGAGTCATCAGCTGGGTAAACATGGTGAGGAGGCGAGACAGCTGTTCTGCAGAGAGTGACGGGGCTGCTGGGGGCAAAACCCCCTCAACGTGTCCTGCTGTCACAGGGATGGCAAGAGCCCCAACCAGATACACCAACAGGCACCAAAAACTATCCTTCCTGGGCAATCCAACACCTCACCTGGTGGTTAAATACTTCATTGGAGAGAGCCCATCCCTAGCACCAACTCATCTGCAGAAAAGAGACATTCCGTTGATCCCTTAGAAAACATGACCCATGAGTCAAGAAGAGATGAATCAGGGCTGGAGAGCGCAGGAAGGTGAACGTGGGGAACACAAGCCCATTGTCTCCAAAGGGATCAAAAGGTGAGATTGATGGGTTCTGCGTTCCTCAGAGGACAGCGAGGAATGGGGTTGTAATTCTGCAAGGAAGGTTCACATTAGACATTGTGAAAAATGTTCCGTTAAGGACTGTGATGAGTAGAGCATGTTGCCCATGGTGCCTCCATCACTGGAGACACCTTACAGAGCGACTCTGCCGGCAGCACTGGTTCAGGGGCACCCCTTGCATGGCTTGTACACTTTCTACAGGTTATCTATTCACTTCCATTTTCTTTTTCAATATTTTCAGGATCTAATGGAAAATATCTGTACAAAGAGATGCTGCTGCAAGCAGACATGGCTCAATATCTAGAATATTCTGAGTTATCTTTATATTGTTTGTGGTTACTGCCTACAAAATGTGGCAGACGAGCTTTCCTTCCATTGACTGCGGCACACAGGAGGTAGGAGAAGTGCAGCAGGTTGAGCCCAGGCTGCATGAGGCATTATTTTCTTCAAAACAATTTCTGCCAGAAAAACTGCTCGGGAGTCCTGGCTCAGAAATGAAGAGCTGTCCTCCCTGCCAGGAGGAGCCCGAGATGGCCAAACACCCAGCACCAACAGGACCAGACCACACCAGTGCTGCCCAGTGCCCGCTGGGCTTCCTCGGCACAGGAACTGTAATTTTCACCTCCCCAGTAAGCACCGGTGAATCTGCCCTTCAATTTGCAGCATGATGGGGCTCATAAAGGCTGGAATTAAATTATTGTCTTTTAATAACAACCAAATGGCTTTTTTCCTCTCAAAAGCCACCAGATCTTAATCCATTAAAGTCTGCAAGATCCAGCTCTAACGGAGCTGTTTGAGATACAATTACAGAAAACCAAACCCTTAGTCTGTATTACCTAAAAAAAAAAAAAAGGAATACTGCAATACAGCTCCATTTTCAACGTCCACATTTGCTATTTAGGTATCTGACAATTTTACATAAATAAAAAAAATTGCCAGTTTTATGATGCACACATCTCACTCTTCACCATCTCAGCATGGCCTCAGCACTTGTGGAGGTTCTCGCATTTAGCGACTGCCTTTAATATTTTTAAGTATGACACTAATAAGCCAGAAGGGAGTCTGCGAAGCTACAGCACCATATGTGTGGTTTCAGACCAGCTTTCAGATGATGTATTAAAGTCTTGCTAATCCAGATGCTGGCTCGTTCAAAGGGGGGTTCAGTATTATCACCTATAAATTGGTATTAAGAATTACTTCTGAAATGAAATTGGATCATGTCTTATCTATTTTAAGATTATTTGGTATGATATTCCTTCTTCATAAACCAGCAGACTATTTTTTTTCTTTTTTTTTTTTCTTCCCCCCTGCTCTCTCAGAATTCAGGCAGGCAAATGCCACAGGGATTCTCAGGCCACCATTTTTATAAGGGAAATTACGGGGGACAGGCATAAATGAAGTAGAAAATGTAGATTATGCAGGATGAAGCAGTATAAAGAAAAAAAAAACCCTGTAAAGTCATGAGAGTCCTAACGTACATGCTGTAAGGCAGAGAGCGAACTGGTTGTTTAGGTACGGTTGGGAGTTGCCCAGCCAAGAAACTTGAAATTCAGAAAGTAATTTAAACCCGGTAATTTTCTCGTCCATGCTTGGATGGGTGAACACCCGCTCTCCGCGATGAATATCCATATTCAGAACTACGCTGATGCTGCTCAGGGCACATTGATACATGCTATTAACTGGGCATAATAAACCCCTGATTTATTCTGCAGTTACCAGGTCTGCAGTAAAGAACATCCCTTTTAGTAACAGGGAAACGGTGTTAAAAATGGTCAGAGGCAGCTGTGAAGCGACCGTAGACCTCACAGACATTTTGTGAAGGTACGGGATCCCTGTAAGACCAGAGGAGGGGGTTTGGTGTGCTGGGCACGGCTCCTGCAACACCCACTGCGGGGAATGGCACACGGGGTGGGGGTACCTGCGGATGGGGACAGCATCCCCGCACAGGGACGGAGTTACACCGGGGCGGGCGAGGGGCTGCTGAGGCTGCGGAGATGGCGCTGAGCCTGCACGTGTCAGCAGGAGGATTAAACAAGTTCATAAACCCAAAGAAAATAAAGGAATGGGAGGATTTTTTTGGGGGGGGAGGTGGTGGTGGGAGAAAGCCTTGCTCGTTAGCAGTTCAAGCCCCTCCTGAACACCACAAGGCATTTTTCTGCCCGGTCAGAACAGATGAGCATCATCAGCAGGGAGCAGATGTTCCGAGTGCTTTTGCATTGCGCCGAACCGGCGAGGGGACAGCGCACAAACCCAAACAGGAGTGCGTTAGCAATTAGCTGACTATGGCAAACCATTCACATATACAGAGTGCTTCATGCTGTAGCCAGATCCTAGTTTTACATTGCTTCAATTTTATTTCTTTCCCTCCTCCATTTTCTTCTTTAGTTGTAGGAAATATTAAAGAACAATCCTCTGCACGTCCCCAGTGTAGAAGTTTGCCTGAATCTGACATAACACGGTGTGCATCCACGCTATGGCCAAGGACACTTCCAGCCCAGCCCCGGTAGATGAATCCGCACAAAGACCCGCTTGGACACACACCCTAGGGTGCAGGGCACACGCCAACCAGCCCATCAGCTGGGCTTTGTGCTTAAGCTTGAGTTTCGGTTTTGGCCAGCTAAGGTGATGCTTTATCCAAACCCGGAGTCAGGCACTTCTGGATCCTGGCTCAGAAGGCAAGAGAGGTTCCATGAGTTTACCACATTCACTGTGTTTTGTTTTTTTTTTATTATTTAAAAAAAGCCAAACACCAAAACAACCACTAAGCAAACTCACCAACTTTTCCCTTTCTACAAGCACTTAGCTTCCACAACAGCTAGTGTCACCCTTATTAAAATCCCCATGATATGAAATAACATAGAGAGAATATTTGTTTTACTAAAAGTAGACCGAGCTCACCATTCCTTCTGGTCCCTGTTGCAAGTTCATTATCTGACAACACAAAGCATTCTGGAGTACAGCTGGTGTGGAAGGCATCACCCCCAAAACCCCATGGCATGCCCATAGGGATACCTGCCCAACTTCTCTCACTGACAATCTTCCAGTAACAACCTCCTGCACAGAAAGCGATGGGCACTTGTTCCCCAGGACACCATCCGTGGTGGGTCTCCTCCCGCATAGCCCGGAGCTTTTAGAGCACTCCCTGCTTTGGGGAATTCAGCAAAGCTGCTGTAGGTGGAAACACGTTGATGAGGGCAAAGCAGGGTGAGAACAGCCCTGGGCTCTTCACGAGTCTCCTCGAGCCGCCCTGCGGTTGATATCTGCTCTTGTGACCAGTAAAGCCAGGACTGATGGTCACATTACGCCAGAGCCTCAGCAGCTCTGCAGGGTCTGCAGCCAGGGTCACCAGCCTGCGTGACCCTGGGACACCCAGAGCATGATCGGGCTGTTCTATAAGCGTTAGTGCATTGACCCATCGTGTTCCAGGGCATCGTGAACTATGACTCTCCTGCTGTCACACAAACAAGGAGCATTGGGTCAGCTTCTTAACATGGGAATGTCCCACAAACGCCCAGTAGCATGGTCAGCCCCATCAGCAACCACCCACCTCCAGCTACAGAGCAACCTGGGGACAAGGGACCCATCAACAGGGACAGGAGGTGTCCAGGAAGACCCAAAGCTGACATCGTAAAAATCTGTGGCCAGTAAGGATGCTGCAGCCATTATCAAACCAGAAACTGTTACAAATTACAAGCTGGGTAATTGCACTTAACCTGAGAAAATTCAGAGTGATTGAGAGTAATCATTCCCATTTTTTCTTTTTTTCTCCCCTCCAACATTAAAAAAAAAAATGCCATTCTGAACGTTTCATGTCATATTGAGTGCTACACCAAATTCAGTCCCAAGCTGGAAACACCATCCCGGTGTGGAAATCCTGGCAGGTCAGACCCAGCAGGCTGCAGGATGGGTAACTCGGGGGTTCCTGGTGTTACCCACCACCCACCACGATCGCTACAGCAGAACTGCACGGCAGCAAGCTTCTCCTTGCCTCCACATCAGCGCAACCACGCAAAATAGCTTGCTGCCTCTACTGGGAGTACTTCAAATTTCCACGGAGACCGATTGCCATCTCATCACCCAACAGAATTTCAGGAAGTTTCTCATCTCCTGATATTATTGCACAACCACGGCAAATCTAATCAGCAACTCTTCAGCCCAACAAGCACTGCAGTCCTTAAAAGTTACTCAGATAATTGCTCAGAAAACTACTCCAAAACCTGAGTCTCAGCGCCGCAGCCCAGCGAGAGCAGCTGCTGTAAAGCCTCCGCCAGCACTGCCGTCCCCGCAGACAAAAGGAAGATTTGAGCCTGAGGCTTGTTTCCCCTCCTTTGGGGAGGCTGACTCGTACATCACCGCATGGCTCCTTCTGCCACCGTCATCCAAAACCCAGCAAACCACAGCTCCACCACAAGCAGCACGTCTCTGCATTAGCCTTCTCTTCTCAGCCACGTCCCTCTCCTCCACTGGGTTTAGCGATTAAAAAATAACATGACTTACAGTTTACTGTGACTTTTACTTTCCTCACATCTGGGACTGAGACGTCATTTTCTGCGCTGCACTCGTACTCCCCAGCCTGGTCTCTTGTAATTCCATAGATGTCCAGGTACTGCCCGCTCTCAAAGGGTTTTGCTGAAATGAAATAAGCAGAGAAAAGAAATTACTAGAAGCATTCCCAAAGAATTCTAAGCACAAACCACCTGAAACTTTTCCAGCACCTGGAGAGCTTTGCTTGGTGCTGAGATAACGCACATCCAGGGGAGCTGGGCAGCCGCTGCAGCTTTTGCTCACAAACCCCCCCCAGCCCCTGGGGTTGGCCCAGGGTCCTCTCCTGACCGAGCCCCGTCACCAAGCTCAGCAGCCCCAGAGCCACGAGAGCAATTCACTAACACAGCCCCACACCTGCTGGGCTCCATAAACCATAGGGCATGATCCTCGGCCAAAGCCTGGCTTTAAGAGTTCCAGCATCCATCAGGGCTCATGGTTTGCACCTGGGCAGAGACCTGCCCCCCCCCAGCAAGGAGTAGTAAAGCCAGAAATTGGGTGAGTTAAAGGGACAAGGAGCCCTGAAGGAGCGGATCCAGCCCTGCTGCCGGTGGCCCTGGCATCCCCTTCTATCCCGGGGACCTTCTCATGGCCGTTTGTACATCAACCAGCTGGATGTACATAATGGTGATAAACCTCATCAGCTGGGGGGCTCGGCCCCCTGACACCCTGAGGGCTGCCAAAGCGTGTCCTGGAGGAAACCATCCCTAACGGGCGCTCCCTGCCCTAATAAACTTTTCATCGTGTTAATTAAAAAATAAATAATAGATCTCCTCTCCCAGAGGACCCAAACCCAATAAATAGGATCCTCAGTGTTTGCCTCGATACGAGGAATAAGGACGGTCGGCGTGAGCCATAGGCTGAGGTCTGTCTGGTGTGAATCAACCAAGCTGAAATACATAACTCCTTGGCATGTCATATCCACGATCATTAATTGTTTCAGAGAGCAAGAACAGCTACATGATTCAAAGCTAGTTTATGTCCACCTGACAGAGCCATAGCACACAGAGACATTTTCGTGGTTCTCCAAATCCCCACACCTGGCTCAAAGCTCGTCTCCCTGTCTTCCGAGCAGCATTGTAGGTGGGCAGCAAATGAACTGGTTTAGATTGCTCACAGGGCATTCACCACGCAAGAAAACAAAAACCATTACACATCATTTTTATCATAAACCCATATATTGTAGCAGTTACGACTACAGACACAGGAAATTATAGATCCAAAGGTTAAAGAAATTTGCTGGAAGTGTTTTCCCAGAGAGATGAGCTTTTAATGGACTTTGCAACTTGGGGAGCAATGACAAAAATCTGAACGGGGCGCTGAGATCTAGGTAGAAGTATGACGCCCATGTCCATCACACCAGTGAATTTTGTTTCCTCATCTATTCCCTGATTAATGTTTAAAGTGTGCAAGGTTCAAACCATCAATTATCCCAGTGCGTCGCTGAGCATGACGACACTCATTAACAAGCACAATGTACCGTGCCTGGCACGGGAAGGAGCCGAGGAGGCACTGGGTGTGTAGGGAGAGAGATAAGACTGAAATTGGAAAATTATTGTGAATTGAAGTGAACGTTCATAAAACGCAATTAAATTATTTATGGAGTATGAGGAATTGCATGAGAATGAATTTTTTTCTCTTCCAGGTTGTTCGCAGGAATAAATTACAAACTGTTCCCATCATGGCCATCATTCTGCTCCGCTTTGACCAGGTTGAATCGATTTCTAGGAAAATTTTATTTGCTATGGCTTTGAATGGCAGTGAAGGATGCAAAGCCCCTGCCTGCACGGGAGTGTCTGTCCAGACAGAGGAGAGACCTTCCAGCAAGACTTCTGCTTTGTTCCCAATACCAAGAAAATTATATGAAACGCAAAATTCTCCTGCCTGGCAGGTTAAAAATTACTATTAAATTGTGAGATTGTGATGCTCTCCAATGTCAGTACTTCCCTGGATATATGGTATGCACCAAAATACCATCCACTGAATCCATAAATTATGAGGTATCCTATCCCAATTCCCAACATCAATTTGGAAAAAAGAAAAAAAATATATCTCAAAGTACCTGGAATTTCATAAAAATAGTTATTTGTGGTTTGGAGTTAAGATAAAACCAAACATTCTCTGCTTTAAACTTTTTTTTTAATGTCAACATAACACTAGTTTCTTGCCTCCTGGCTTTTGCTCTCTCAACAATTCCTGGGTTGTAGCTGAGCCTCTGGCACTCGCTTTGCCACGGGAACGGGACAATGCCTGGCCTCGGCCGGGGTCGGTACAGCCCCGCTCCGCACCGATGGCTTTCTGTGTTCAGCACAATTCTGCCACGGCACAAGCACCATCGGTCCTCAGGTCTGGCAGCAGCCTTCCATCCGTCTGAAAAATCTCCACAGCAGCGAGATCCGCCGGCCGGGAACGCGGTGGGAGTTCCCACAGTAATTCCCGTTACAACGATTTGCAACAACGCCCATCAGCGCTGTTCATAGCGCTGGTATTTATCGGGATCTGAGGCTGAGCTGTCAGCCTAATTCATGCTGCAAACACTGAGTGCATTTGTATAAACCCCCTGCAACGCACACAGACTTTGAAAATATTAAAATCAAGACATTTTTAAACCCTCGCATCCCCAGAAACTTTGCATCCAGATCACTTAAGAAAGCTTTTAGTAAATATTAGAGATAAATATTTTTCTCAGGGAATACATAGATACCACATTTCATCTTCCCCACTCGTCTGCACAGTGTTTCATCTCCTTCAGCTTGTTTTTAGTTCTCGAGATTTCCCATGGCGGTGTGGGAGAGCTGAAATCCTGTTATGTGAAAGATAGATGCATGAGTATGTGTAAGCGTATTTATGTTACATGGCACGCACATCCAGCTCAGAAAAGGATATTCAAAAGCAGTAGGGAGAAAACAAAACTGCATATGAAGATATTGGTGAATGTAGATGAATTTCAGGAGCCAACTCCATTTTCTCTCTGTTTTTTTTCTCCATGATGTCTTAAGCCCGGGGTGACCACACCGTGCTCTGCCCTTCTGCAAACACGTGCGCTTTGGGGACCTCTCCAGATGTGAGGACCACCTCTGTCTGCCTCTTCTGGCCATAGAGCCAAAAGGCTTATCAGACTTGGTACGTGAGGAAAAAAAGTCCGTGAGGTTCATTAACACAAGTCCATCAGCCTGAGGTCATGTCAGCCAAGATCTTTGATCAAAGACGGGAAAAAACTGTTGCAGTGAAAGAAACACAAACATGAGAGTGCCTTGTGTCCAAGGCCACTCCTGATGGGTTTTCAGGGCATCTCTTAAGGAGACTTACTGATACATATAATGACGCATAAATAACCTGCTCTGGGTATTTTAGGTTATAAGAGCAGGTTCTCTAGCCAGGAAGGGAAATGCTTGTGCAATCTCAGCCTGAACGCCCATTTCCTGCTACTGCGTGTGCTCTGATGCCTGATAAACCATCACACTTGTATTCCTCAGGAGGGTACACAACTAGAACTGTGTTTTCTTACCATGCAGATGGTATCTGGCACCAGGTGTAGCGCACGGACACATCGCCATATGGACTGGCTCTCAAAGGCTCGGACGGAGGAGTTCTGCAAGGGCAGCATTTTCCTCCCCTGGTGTTAAACATAAGTCAGGAAGAAGAAAAATCTGGTGCCAGTCCAGGCTAGCTCCGAAGAACTCTGAGGACTTCGTCTGAGCCAAGAGTTTGGTTTTTTTCCCTTATTTGCTAGGATATTACATAACTAGTATATAGCCCCAGTTTAAGAACTGCAAAACCTCCTCCGTGCTCAGGCCTGGCTTTATGACCCAACCTTTGAGGCACCTCCTCCTCCAGCAGAGACTGAAGACCCTCATGGGGCTGGGAGTGTGGGGAGCACAAGGCTGAGAGGACGCCAGTCCTCATTTATCATGGACTTGGGGCATGTTGATGGCACACACGAGACTGCAGAGTTGAGTGAATCGTCTCCCAAAAGACAGGAAACACGGAGATCCCAGCTCGTCCTGATGCACACTGCCTCGGTGATGAGAACTGGGCTCAGCACGAAAGAACAGGAGGTGGTCTCCAGTGACGATGCCATCATGGTGCCATCCAACGATCACCAGATGCTTTCAGCAATCCGCGAGGTCCTTCTGGATCCCAGAGGCTGGGTGGAGATAGAGGATCAAGGGCGCAAGGAGGCACCTTTCTGTCCTGGAGATGAGTTGCCTGCCATGGGATGCTGAGAACAATCTCAAGTTTAAATAATTGGATTCACCCAGAAAAAATGATCTGAAGCCATTTCTGCTACTCATGATGGGTTCTGGGCTTAAAGTTCCACCAGATGCTGTAATTGGATAGTCCTCTCCAAGGAACTGTGGGCAATCCGAACAGCTCACCACCTCTTAGGAGAATGGCCCTGTGACGTTAGGGACCATTTAACCATTGATCGCTGAAGGCAATTTAGCTTTAGAGGAGCCGCGCTCCACGTTTGAAGAGAAAAATCAGATAAAATGTAAAGAAAAAAACATCCAAAACTGACAGATAAATCAAAGGCTGGAGGAGATCGCCCAGCTGACGAGACGCAACAAGAACAGCAAGTGGAGCAATTTTGTCAGAAAGGCATGCTGATAAAAGAGATGTGAACATAGATCGGCAAAGTTGAACGTTTCAGAGGTGGAGACAAACGGGGGTACATCTGCCTGTGAAATTTATGGAGAGAGGCGTTTGGGGAGCTGGCTGTGGGCACGCTCATAGTGCGGGTGATGTAAATCTCAGTTATCAAGAGATGCTGTGAGTAGAGGGTGGAGGTTGGTCCTACAAGAGGAGTTCTCACAGTTAGTTTTCCTCATTCTCCAAAGTTCCATCAGTTTCTGTCTCTGCACAGAACAGCTGCCAGGCTGCCCTATGTGTCTGAAATTTATGGAATTATGATGTTTTGGAGTAATTACGAATTTTCTGTTTGCAAACTTCATGCCAGGGAACACATGGTCAGTGCATACTCCAGTATATGGACTGACTTGTCTGCATGAGCCGCTGAGTACTAATATAAAGGAGAGCCAGCTCCATTTTAATACTTGTGGAAAAGATAATGGTCAACCAGACGT